ACCTAACACTACCAAGTCCACCACTAAACCACATCTGTTAACAGCACATCTACACATCATTTATATACCTCCAGGGATGGTGACTCAACAAATTTCCTGGGCAGCATGTTCTAACGCTTGGCAACCTTTTTAATGAACAAATGTTTCCTAATATCCAATCTAATCCTCCCCTGGCACAACATGAGATTGTTTCCTTTCATCCTATCACTTCTTACTTGGGAAAAGAAGCCAACATCCACCTCTCTGTCACCTCCTTTCAGGTAGCTGCAGAGATCCATCAGGGTCCCCTCAGCCTCCTGTTCTTCAGAACCACTCCAGGTCCCTCAGTGACTCTTTGTAGGACTCATTCGCTAAGCGCTTCACCAGCTTCCTTGCCCTTCTTTGGACATTCTCCAGCACCTCAATGGCTTCTTTTAGTGAGGGGCCCAAAACTGAACACGGTATTCCAGGGGCGGCCTCATCAGTAACTAAAGAACAGCGGGACGATCCCTTCCCTAGTCCTGCTGGCCACACTGTTCCTGACAGAAGCCAGGACACTATTGGCCTCCTTGGCCACCTGGGCACACTGCTGGCTCATACTCAGACGGTTGTTGACCAAGACCCGCAGGTCCTTTTCCATCAGGCAGCTTTCCAGCCACTCTGCCCCAAGCCTAGAGCATTGCAGGGGGGTTGTTGTGACCCAGTTGCAGGACCCAGCACCGATCCTTGTTGATCCTCATACAATTGGCCTCGGCCCATCGATGCAGCCTGTCCAGATCCCTCTGTCAACCCTTCCTACCCTCAAGCAGATCAACACTCCCACTCAACTTGCTGATGTCTGCAGTGTTACTGAGGGTGCACGCCATCCCCTCCGCCAGATCGCTGATAAAGCTATTCAAGAAAATTGGCCCAAACACACAGCCCTGGGCAACACCACTTGTGACTGGCCACCAACTGGATTTACCTCCATTCACCACAACTCTTAGGGCACAAATATCCAGCTGGTTCTCTACCAAGCAAACAGTATGTCTAATCCAAACCACGAGCAGCTGGTTTCACCAGGAGAATGATCTGGGAAACAGCATCAAAGGCTTTACTAAATTGCAGGTAAAGAACATCCAAAGCCTCTCCTCTTATTGAGGGAGATCAGGATAGTCAAGCAGGACCTGCCTTTCATAAAACCATGCTGACTGGGCTTGATCACCTGGTTGCCCTGTAGGTGCCGAGGGAAGGCACTCAGGTTGATCTGCTCTACAACTTTGCTTGGCACTGTGGTCACACTCACAGGACTCTAGTTCCCCACATCCTCTTTCCAGCCTTTCTTGTACACGAGCCTCAATTCTGCTAATCTCCAGTCAACATGGGTGTAACTGTTTACCCCAGGAGTGCTGAGAAGTGCTTGAAAGTGGCTTGATGATGCACATCTACCAGACCCCTCAATATGCTTGGACAGATCCAACACAGCCCCATGGACATGTGCGTGTCTAAGTGCTCTAGCAGGTCGCTAACCATCTGCATTGAACTATGAGGGCTTCATTCTGCTCCCCGCTGACCCACTTCCTGCCTCAGCAGTAATCTGGACATCACATCAAAGACAGTCACACCAAAAAGAATCTCACGGTGTGCAAGGATCCTCTGGAGATCATCTACTTCATGCCAACCTGCTCAAGCACAGCCAGCTCGAGCACGATGTCCAGCACCATGTCCACACAGGTTTTCAGTGTCTCCAAGGATGGGAATTCAGCACATCTTTGCACAACCAGTTTCACTCTTTGACCACTCTCACACCGGAAAAAAAGGTTGCCTTCCCTTCCAAGGAAATGGCACATCTTTGCACCTCTGTCCATTCACCTTTGCACTATCCATGGGCACACGTAAGAAGATTCTCACTCCTCTGTCCATCTGCCCTCCAATCTGGGATTTAGACACACTGATGATATCTCCCTGGCACAGTCTTGAATCCTGCCTGATAAAACTCCCAGCTCTCTCAGCTTCCCCTCATAGCAAAGATGCTCCAGTCCATTCAGCGTCTCGTGAGAGCCCTGCACTCACCTCGTTCCATTAAGTTTACATCCCTCCTCCACAGGGGAGCCCTCAATGGACACAGGACTCCACATGGGGCCTCACCACCCCTGCAGAGAGCTCAGGATCACCTCCGCCAACCTCCTGCTAACGCTCTTCCCAACGCCATCCTGGAGATACTTGGCGTTTTTTTGCCAAGACGATGTGATGATACCACAGCATCCAGCTCGTTCTCCCAACCAGCAACACAAAGCCGGGTTCAGTAAAGCTGCTTTCCAGCCTCTCTACCCCTAGCATGCCCTGCTGCCCAGCATTATTCACCACAAAGATGCAGGCCTTCGCATTTCTGCATCTTCAACTCCCAGAGATTCCCCTCTGCCTCATTCTCCAGCTACCTCTGAATGGCGGCACAACCATCCGTTGGCTTAGCCTCTCTTCCAGGTTTTGCATCATCTGACAACTTCCTGAGGCAGCACGGTGTACTACCACCCACGTCATTTGATGAGGATGTTGAACAGTGTTGGCCCCATGGATGCCAGTCCTGGGCTACGCCATTTGAGACTTGCCTGCATCTGGACTTTGGGACACTCATCACAAGCTGCTGGACCCAGCCCTTCAGCCACTTACACAACCCATACTTTCCTGGCTTGTCTAGGAATGGGCAAGGGCAGAAATAGTCAAAGGCCTCACTAAACAGGCGAGGTAAACACCAGCCACGGCGCCCTCCTCATCCACAAAGTGAGTCACTTCAATATAGAGGACACAGATGCCGGATAAGCATGATTTCCCCTTTGTAAATCCACACTGACAGCTCTGCATCAGCTTCTTGTCCTTCCTGGGACTGGCACTGCTTTCTGGGAGGATTTTCAAGATCACTTGCCACAGGAGCAAGGCCAGCCTCACCAGCTTCTACCTTCCTGAATCTTCCTTTCCAATCTGCTTCAATACATGAGCCCTATAACCTCTCCTCCAGCCATCAGGAACTACTCCCAGGCACCATCACATTTCCAAGCTACTTGGTGTGCTCTCTCAAGGACTCCAGCCAGCTCCCGCAGCATTCATCGCTGTGACACCTCAAGCCCCCAGGACATACGTCCATCCTGTCACAAAGCAGTCCTTCCTGCCAAGATTCATCTCCCTCATACACAAAGACCGTTTGAACACAAAATCCTGCAAAACACTCTCCTGGACTCAGCTGGGAAACACCTTGCCATTCCTCTAGACCTTCACCACGTGTCCACCACCACCAGGGCCTCGGCTCTGCAGCCGCGTGCTGCATGCTTGCCTCCAACTCCCCTTGGAAATCTCCAAACTCTCTTTCCATTGGACACTGCAAAGAGAAATGGCCTCAGCCTTCGGCACTCATCCCAAGGAAAGTCCCCAAAGGCCCTGGCTCACCAGCCGCCCCTTCCTGCTTCTCCCACTCCCCCTCTGCCTCTCACCACACTCATGGGCTCTCCAGAAACTCCCTTACACTTTCAGGCTGTCCCATGTGCAATCACAGAATACTTTATTTTGGAAAAGACATTTAACATAATCAAGTCCAACAGTTAACTTCATACGACCTAGTCCGCCACTAAACCATGTCTCTAAGCGCCACATCTAAATGTCTATTAAAACCCTTCTGGGATGGGGACTCCACCATTTCCCTGCGCAACCTTCTCCACGGCTTGATAACACTCTGGGTGCACGTATTGCTCCTCATGTCCAATCCAAAGCTCCCCGGGCACAATTGGAGGCTGTTTCCTCCTCTATCACTCATTACTAAGAATGGGAGACTGACATGCACCTCCGTGCAACCTTCATTCAAGTAGTTGTACAGAGCAATAACATTTCCCCTCAGTCTTAGTTTCCTGGAAAGAAAACACCCGAAGTTCCTTCAAGCATTCCTCATTTATTATTCTTTTATAGTCCCTTCAGCAGCTTCACTGCGCTAATTTGGATACATCACGCCAAGGCCCAGACTCTAAACTTCCCAGCCCCAGATAAGGGGAGCGCTCTGGCGAGCCAACCCAAGCCTTTGGGGAGCAGGGCAGGCCTCCCAACAGCACAGGGCTTGCCAGCTCTGAACCAGGGCTGCCAGGCCAACGGCCTGCTCTCGCAAACAGCCCTCCTCTGCCTGCTGGCACTGCCACCCCCAGGGACAGCCCCAAGGGGCTGCAAGCCCAAACAGGCAGCCGCCTTTCTCCCAGCCACAGCCTTACAAGCCACAGGGGCAACAAGACACACACAGAGCAGCAGACAGGAAAAGCCGGGTCTAAAGACAGACTTACTGAGCTGGCGGTAAGGTGGGGAGGGATGGAACGCCATGGCAGGGGCAGTGTCTCATGCCTGGCACACTTGCAAAGCCCGGACCAGCCAGCCAGGGCTGCGAGGAAATGGAGACCCCTCTTCACAACACACCCAAAGCCACAACACGAATGCATCCTGATGACCTCAATTGTTGACAAGCACATCTACATTTTGGCAACATCTACCAAACGCTCTGATGAACAAAAGCAACACTAAGGCTTTTTCCTCTGTTACTCGCACTTAAAAGTTGCCAACCACGGTCAGAAGGACACGTCCTCAAGAGAAGGACACGAAACAGAGTTTTGCGGGAAGGGAAACACACCCCACCTCATTATTGGGAAGGTCGTGGCACACAAGAGCCGCCTGCTGCAAAATGCCGTCACGCGCAAAGGCTGTCCCGCCCCTTGGGCACCCGCATAAAAGCCGGCCCAGCGCCTCTCTCCCTCACACCCTTCTCCTGACGCCTTCTCCTCCGCGCTCAACAAGGTGAGCCTCAACCCCCTTCCCCTCCTTCTCCTGGCCTGCCTGGCCCGGCTCTTCCAGCACGCTCTGCTGGCCCCAGCCTCAGCAGCCCTCACGCCTCCCCGCAGCCACGCTCCCCACAGCCCCACACCACGCCTCCCCACTCCCTCGCCCTCCTGCACCACCGCCCCTCCGCTTTCTCACCCCCCTCTCTTCCAGGGCCCCTCCACACCACAGCCATGGCCTGCTCCGACCTCTGCCGCCCCTGCGGACCCACCCCGCTGGCTAACAGCTGCAACGAGCCCTGTGTCAGGCAGTGCGAGGACTCCCGCGTCGTCATCCAGCCTTCCACCGTGGTGGTCACCCTGCCAGGACCCATCCTCAGCTCCTTCCCCCAGAGCACCGCCGTCGGATCCTCCTCATCGGCTGCCGTGGGCAACGTCCTCAGCTCCCAGGGAGTGCCCGTCTCCTCCGGAGGCTTCGGCTTCGGCTACGGCTACGGCTTGGGCGGCCTGGGCTGCTTCGGCGCCGGGAGAGGCTGCTACCCCTGCTAAGGTGCATTGTCACATGAGCTTGATGTCAACGGCTCCTCCTCTCTAAGCACCAAACATGGAAGCAGTGAAGAGGCAGCCCAGGTTTCCTGGAAACATTGCCCACGTACCTCCTCTTTTTGTCCAGCTGTCTTCTTTGCATCTGCCTTCCTGCTATGTCCGCAAATCTCCCGCCACAGGCACCTTCTACAAAGCCAAAGCCCACTGGGGACCTCAGGCGGGCTGCTCCAACTGTAGGGTAGGAAGGCTGTGGTGCTTTGGAAAAGTCTACTGCCCCGAAGGGACCTCTGCTGATGGTCGCCCTACTGCACCTCAGACGACCTTGCTTTCCATTTTTTTTCTTCAATAAAGTTCTCCTGCATCCCAGTCAAAGACTATAACACTTCTTTTCTTCTCCGAAAGCTCCTTCCACTTTACCCAGCACAAAGCCAGGGCTCAACTGCCATTGTTGTGGTGGGTGGAAAAGGGATACAAGACCTCTCCTCGGAAATACGTCACCACCAACACAGACTGGACCTGGGGGGCTTCCAGAATGTGGCACAAGCCCATTCTTGCACAAACTAAGGGGTAGATAGCACAACACTCCCCTACACACACCTCTGATGAGGTCCTTCCTGTGCCAGCACACACTTGACTAACTGTATTCCCCTCTATGACTCTCCAGCTCTCCCAGCAAACAGAATCACGGGATCATTACTTTGGCAGGAACCTCTGGAGAGCAGGTGCTTCTACTCCCTCTGCGCAAGCAGGGACAGCTGCAGCAGGTTGTCCGGGTTCCACGGCCGCTCACATTTTCAGTATCTCCCAGGATGGAGCCTCTTCCACTCCTTGACCACGCTCACACTGAGCAAGACTTGCTGCTTTTGCCCGTGGAATTCCATCCTTTCTCACTTGTGCCCAAGGCCTCTTGTCCTGCAAACGCGCGCTACTGAGGAGAGCCCGGCTCCCTTCACCTCAATCCCTGGCTTCAAGGATTTATACACGTTTAAGAATGAGTGTAAAGGGGAGGCAGTGGATGTACAGTTCTCGATTTTAGTAAGGTTTCCGATTCTGTCTCTCTCGGAATACGCCTACACAATTGTTCCAACTGTGATGTGAGAACGTACACGCAGCGATGGGTAAAGAACTGGCTGAACAGCAGGGCTCAAAGAGTTGTAGGGAATGGGGATATAGCTGACACTTTCTGGAGCAGGCAGGATAGATTAGAGCACTGGGCAATGATTAACGGCCAGAAATTGAAGAAGAAGAAATGGCAGACTGTGCACCTAGGAGGGAGCAATCTCTCTACGCACGTAACAGACTGGGAGAGGAGTGGCTGGAGAGCAGCCCTGCAGAAAGGGATCTGGGGGTGCTGGCTGACAGCAGGCTCCCTACGAGTCAGCAGCATAGCCTGGCAGCCAAGGGGGCAAACCGCATCCTGGGGTGCAGCCAACACAGTACAACCAGCCGGTCACAGGAGGGGATTAGCCCGCTGGATTCCCCGCTGCTGCAGCCTCACCTTGAGTATCGTGGGCAGAATTGGATCCCCCAATTTAAAAAAGGATGTTAAAGTTCTTGAAAGCAGCCAGAGCAGGGCAAGGAAGCTGATGGATGACAGGGCTGGAAGGCAAGTCCTGTAAGGAGCAGCAAAAGACTCTGTGTTCATCTAGCCTGGAGAAAAGGAGGCTGAGGGGCAGCCTCATTGCTCTCTGCTGCTTCCAGAGGACAGGACGTGGAGAGGGAGCTGCTGAGCTCTTCTCCATGAGATCCAGAGACAGGATTCATGGCAATGGGTCAAATGAACCTCCTCAATGGGAGGTTCAGACAGATAGAATGAATTATTTAGTTACAGAGCATGTGGCAAAACACTGAAAGAGGCTTCCTAGAGAGGTGGACGATGGCCCAAGTCTGACAGTGTTTAAGAGGCATTTGGACAAACAATGGCCTTAATTACATGCTCTTCCTCTTCGTCACCCCAGCAGCGAACAGGCAGTTGGACAAGATGGTCACTGCACGTCCCTTCCAACTGGACTCTTCTAGTCCAGTCTTGTCTATTATGCTTTGCCAAGCCTTTGGCACGCAAACATCACCTCGAGGTTCTCAGGTGCACAGCCCCACGCAGCACGCACGCCTCCCCTTTCCCCTCCACTGGATCCAATCCCACTCTGGCCCAACAAACACTGCGCAGAGAAATGGCCTCACCCCTCGGCAATCACCCCAAAGTCAGACCCCAACTCCCCTGCCTGCCGTTCCCACTCCCCCTGGGCCTCTCCCCACACTCACCATCTCTCCTACAACTCACCAGCCTCAGCTCCACCGCCAGGCCCTGCCTCAGCACCCTCAGCAGCCAGCCAATCACAAGGCACTTAACAGCCTGCCAATCAGGGGGCAGCTGACAGGCACCAGCTGCTGCAGAAGCCCCTGGAAGCTTCCAGAACATGCCTGTCAGGACCCAAAATCGATATTTCTGGTACGATAAATGGATAATCTTCACCAATCCGCCCCGAAAACAACTGCTGGGATGGGAAGGCGGTGAACGAGGGAATGAATGAGTAGAAATGCTACTGAAAACCAAACCAAACATCTCACACGAGAGCTGTTAGGGGACTCAGAGAGGGAAGAGGGAGGTAAAATGCCCTGATTAAATAACACCCCCAAAAAACACTGACATCAGCGAAGACATCAACAGACCCTGCTCTTCTTCCCGTAATGCAGCGTTCATGGGACAGCCATGCAGGGTCATTGTCCCCTCTTGCTGTGGTCCACACCCAACTGCCTGGCAGTCCCAGGGACACCCTCTTCCCTCATGATGGGGTCCCCAGGTCATCCAGAGACGGTCCCATCTCCAAGTCCCCTCTTGCACTGCCTTGCACTTTTCTCCTGACGCCTTCTCTCTTCCATGGTCAAAAACGTGAGCATTCTTGCCTCCCACTCCCCTCAGATATCTCCAAATTCTCTTGCATCCCACCAGACACTGCCGAGAGAAATAGCCTCCTCCCTTGGCAAATCCCCCAAAGGTCCTGGCTCACCAGCCTCCCCTGCCTGCTGCTCCCACTCCCCCTCTGCTTCTCACCACGCTCACGGGCTCTCCAGAAATTCACTTGCTCTTGCAGGGTGCCTCATCTGCAAGCATAGAGACTTTTAGGTTGGAAAGGACCCATAACATCATCCAGGTCAACAATTAACCCAGCACTGCCAAGGCCACCAGTAAACCATGACCCTAAGCACCACATCTACAGGTTTCTCCAGGATGGTGACACAACCTCTTCCCTGAGCAGACTCTTCCACTGCCTGACAGCTCCTTCCATACAGACATGTTTTCTCATAGCCAACTTAAACCTTCCCTGGCACAAACTGTAGCTGTTTCCTCTTCTCTTATCACTTGTTACCAGGAATAAGAGTCTGAAACCCACTCAGTTACAAAGTCCACTCAGGTAGCTGTATGGAGTGATAAGGTCTGTCCTCAGCCTTCAGACTGAATAACCCCACTTCACACACAAGCACGTCAGAAATATTGTTCTCTTCACGCTTCCCCAGCTTCGCTGCTCTTCTTCAGATGCATCACTCTAAAGTCCAGTTTACAAACTTACAAGTCCCGGCTCAGGGGAGCACTCTGGAGAGGCCAACCCAAGCCTTAGAGGAGCAGGGCAGGCCTCCCCACAGCACAGGGCTTGCCAGCTCTGAACCAGGGCTGCCAGGCCAACGGCCTGCTCTCGCAAACAGCCCTCCTCTGCCTGCTGGCACTGCCACCCCCAGGGACGGCCCCAAGGGGCTGCAAGCCCAAACAGGCAGCCGCCTTTCTCCCAACCACAGCCTAACAAGCCAGAGGGGCAACAAGACACACACAGAGCAGCTGACAGGAAAGGCCGGGTCTAAAGACAGACTTACTGAGCTGGCGGTGAGGAGGGGAGGGATGGAACGCCATGGCAGGGGCAGTGTCTCATGCCTGGCACACTTGCAAAGCCCGGACCAGCCAGCCAGGGCTGCGAGGAAATGGAGACCCCTCTTCACAACACACCCAAAGCCACAACACGAATGCATCCTGATGACCTCAATTGTTGACAAGCACATCTACATTTTGGCAACATCTACCAAACGCTCTGATGAACAAAAGCAACACTAAGGCTTTTTCCTCTGTTACTCGCACTTAAAAGTTGCCGCCACGGTCAGAAGGACACGTCCTCAAGAGAAGGACACGAAACAGAGTTTTGCGGGAAGGGAAACACACCCCACCTCATTATTGGCGAGGTCGTGGCACACAAGAGCCGCCTGCTGCAAAATGCCGTCACGCGCAAAGGCTGTCCCGCCCCTTGGGCACCCGCATAAAAGCCGGCCCAGCGCCTCTCTCCCTCACACCCTTCTCCTGACGCCTTCTCCTCCGCGCTCAACAAGGTGAGCCTCAACCCCCTTCCCCTCCTTCTCCTGGCCTGCCTGGCCCGGCTCTTCCAGCACGCTCTGCTGGCCCCAGCCTCAGCAGCCCTCACGCCTCCCCGCAGCCACGCTCCCCACAGCCCCACACCACGCCTCCCCACTCCCTCGCCCTCCTGCACCACCGCCCCTCCGCTTTCTCACCCCCCTCTCTTCCAGGGCCCCTCCACACCACAGCCATGGCCTGCTCCGACCTCTGCCGCCCCTGCGGACCCACCCCGCTGGCTAACAGCTGCAACGAGCCCTGTGTCAGGCAGTGCGAGGACTCCCGCGTCGTCATCCAGCCTCCCGCCGTGCTCGTCACCCTGCCAGGACCCATCCTCAGCTCCTTCCCCCAGAGCACCGCCGTCGGATCCTCCTCATCGGCTGCCGTGGGCAACGTCCTCAGCTCCCAGGGAGTGCCCGTCTCCTCCGGAGGCTTCGGCTTCGGCTTCGGCTACGGCTACGGCTTGGGCGGCCTGGGCTGCTTCGGCGCCGGAAGGGGCTGCTACCCCTGCTAAGGGCCCTCACCACCACCCCTGACACCAACCACCCACACCCTACAAGCCACGGCATCGATTGAGGACGCAGCTCCGGGCTGTTGCTGGCACATGGGCTCACCCTCCATGGCTCCTCCTCTCAAGGCACCATGAAAAGAAACAGGGAAGGGGGAGCCGCGGCTGCCTGGAAACATGGCCCACGTACCTCCTCCTGTTCTCCAACTGTCTTCTTTGCATCGCCCCTTCTGCTATGTCTGCTGCTCTCCGCTGCAAACACCTTCTCACAAGCCAAAGCCCACTTGGAGCTCCAGTGAGCTACTCCTACTGCAGGGCGGGAAGACCTCAGAGATCTGGCAACATCACCTGCACAAGGGACCTCGGCTTGTGGTCGCTGTACTTCCACCACAGATCGGCTCTCTTCCACTCGGCACTCCTGACTTTTCCCTGTGTTTTTCCCTCAATAAAGTTCTCCTGCAAACCACCCAAACAAGCCTCCTCTTTCTTTCTTCTCCCAAGGCTCTTCCAACCTCACCCACCTAAAGCCAGGGCTCAACAGGCCATCAGAATGAGTAGAAAAGCGCTACACAACAACTCTTAGCGACGATCTCTCCAGCAAGGACACCAACACAGACTGGAAGCAGGGGGCTTCCTTCCCATGACACAAGCCCTTCACTTGCCTGCAGAAAGGCTCGGACATGCTATGCACGCACTTCTAGACATGCCCTTAACATAGGTTCCCCATGGCTACACACACCTGACCAACCCCTTTCCCCAGCACAACTCTCTAGTCACCACAACAAGCACAATCAAAGCAAAAAGAATCACTGGGTGCCAAACTACCTCTGAAGATCATCTGCTTCAACCCAAGCGGCTCAAGCATGGCCAGCTCAAGCACGCTGTCAACAAACATGGCCAGTCAAGTTTTCAGTATCTCCAGGGATGGGACTTCAGCACTTCTTTGCAGAACCACTTTCACTCTTTGACCACTCTCACACTGAAAAACGATTGCCACTCTTCCAAGGGTACGGCAGGTCATTTCAGATTTCTCCATTCTCCCTTGTCCTGGTCATGCACACCCACGAGAAGACTCTCACTGCCGTTTCCACCTGCCCTCCCAGTTGGGATTTAGACACACTGATGACATTTCCCCGGCACAGCATTGCCTCCCAGATGAAAAAAGCTCTCAGCTCTCTCAGTTTCCCTCATAGCAAAGATGCTCCAGTCCCTTCAGAGTCTGAATCGCCCTGAATTCACATCAATCCTCTAAGTCCATGTCCTTCTTCAATGGGGGAGCCTTCAATGGACACAGGACTCCATGTGAGGCCTCACCAGCCCTGCAGGGACTACAGGATCACCTCCACAAACCTCCTGGCAACGCTCTTCCCAACGCCGCCCTGGAGATACTTGGCCTCTTTTGCCGTAATGGTGCAGTGATGCCTCGCAGTCAGGTCATTCTCCACCAGCAACACAAAGCAGGGTTCAGTAAAGCTGCTTTCCAGCCTCTCTACCCCCAGCATGTCCAGATGCCCTGTGCTATTCACGCCACAGATGCAGGCCTTTGCATTTCTGCCTCTTGAACTCCCAGAGATTCCCCTCTGCCTCATTCTCCAGACTCCCTCAGAATGGCAGCACAACCATCCACTGGCTTAGGTTCTCTTCCAGATTTTGCATCATCTGACAACTTCCCTAGGCAGCACTTCGTCCCACTCCCCACGTCACTGATGAGGATGTTGAACAGTGTTGGCCCCATGGATGCCAGTCCTGGGCTACGCCATTTGAGACTTGCCTGCATCTGGACTTTGGGACACTCATCACAAGCCACTGCGCCCAGCCCTTCAGCCACTTTCGCAACCAACACTGTCTCAGTGTGTTTAGGAACATGCAAGGGGGGAAAGCGTCAAAGCTTAACGAAAAAAGGCAAGGTAAACACCAGCCACGGCTCTCATCCTTGTCCACAAAGAGAGTCACTTCAATATAGAGGACATGGAGGTCGGTCAACTGTGACTTCCCCTTTGTAAATCCACACTGACAGATCCGCACCAGCTTCTTGTCCTTCCTGGGACTGACAGTGCTTTCTGCGAGGATTTCCAACATCACCTGCCACAGGAGCAAGGCCAGTCTCAACAGTTTCTACTTTCCCAAATCTTCCATCCTCGTCTGCTTCAATAGATCAGGCCTTTAAGCTCTCTTCCAGCCATCAGGAACTGCTCAAAAGGGAAGCCGTCTTTCTCACAGCCACAGCCTTACAAGACCGAGGGGCAGGCAACCTCATGGATCTCAGCCAGCGGGGAAGGCCAGGCCTAAAGACACGCTTAGCAAGCTGGCATAAGGCGGGGAGGGACGGAACGTCATGGTAGGGTCAGTCCCTTGTGTCTGGCAAATCTACAAATCCCAAACCAGTCTGCCAGGGCTGCGAGGAAATGGAGACCCCTCTTCACAACACACCCAAAGCCACAACACGAATGCATCCCGATGACCTCACTGTTGACAAGCACATCTACGTTTTGGCAACATCTACCAAACGCTCTGACAAAAAGAACCAACATTAATGCATTTTTCCTCTATTACTCGCACTTAAAAGTTGCCGACAGGGTCAGAAGGACACGTCCTCAACAGAAGTACAGAAACGGAGTGTTGCGGGAAGGGAAACACACCCCACCTCATTCTTGGCGAGGTCGTGGCACACAAGAGCCGCCTGCTGCAAAATGCCGTCACGCGCAAAGGCTGTCCCGCCCCTTGGGCACCCGCATAAAAGCCGGCCCAGCGCCTCTCTCCCTCACACCCTTCTCCTGACGCCTTCTCCTCCGCGCTCAACAAGGTGAGCCTCAACCCCCTTCCCCTCCTTCTCCTGGCCTGCCTGGCCCGGCTCTTCCAGCACGCTCTGCTGGCCCCAGCCTCAGCAGCCCTCACGCCTCCCCGCAGCCACGCTCCCCACAGCCCCACACCACGCCTCCCCACTCCCTCGCCCTCCTGCACCACCGCCCCTCCGCTTTCTCACCCCCATCTCTTCCAGGGCCCCTCCACACCACAGCCATGGCCTGCTCCGACCTCTGCCGCCCCTGCGGACCCACCCCGCTGGCTAACAGCTGCAACGAGCCCTGTGTCAGGCAGTGCGAGGACTCCCGCGTCGTCATCCAGCCTCCCGCCGTGCTCGTCACCCTGCCAGGACCCATCCTCAGCTCCTTCCCCCAGAGCACCGCCGTCGGATCCTCCTCATCGGCTGCCGTGGGCAACGTCCTCAGCTCCCAGGGAGTGCCCGTCTCCTCCGGAGGCTTCGGCTTCGGCTACGGCTACGGCTTGGGCGGCCTGGGCTGCTTCGGCGCCGGAAGGGGCTGCTACCCCTGCTAAGGGCCCTCACCACCACCCCTGACACCAACCACCCACACCCTGCAAGCCACGGCATCGATTGAAGACGCAGCTCCGGGCTGTTGCCGGCACATGGGCTCACCCTCCACGGCTCCTCCTCTCTAAGCACCAAACATGGAAGCAGTGAAGGGGCAGCCCAGGTTTCCTGGAAACATTGCCCAAGTACCTCCTCTTTTTCTCCAACTGTCTTCTTTGCATCCACCTTCCTGCTATGTCCACGACTCTCTGCCGCAGGCACCTTCTACAAAGCCAAAGGTCACTGGGGACCTCAGGCGGGCTGCTCCAACTGTAGGGTAGGAAGGCTGTGGTGCTCTGGAAAAGTCTACTGCCCCGAAGGGACCTCTGCTGATGGTCACCCTATTGCACCTCAGACGACCTTGCTTTCCATTTTTTTTCCTTCAATAAAGTTCTGCATCCCAGTCAATGACTATACCACATCTTTTCTTCTCCGAAATCTCTTTCAACTTTACCCAGCACAAAGCCAGGGCTCAACTGCCATTGCTGTGGTGGGTGGAAAAGGGATACAAGACCTCTCCTCGAAAATACGTCACCACCAACACAGACTGGACCTGGGGGGCTTCCAGATTGTGGCACAAGCCCATTCTTGCACAAACTAAGGGGTAGATAGCACAACACTCCCCTACACACACCTCTGATGAGGTCCTTCCTGTGCCAGCACACACTTGACTAACTGTTTTCCACAGCATTACTCTCCAGCTCTCCCAGCAAACAGAATCACGGGATCATTACTTTGGCAGGAACCTCTGGAGAGCAGGTGCTTCTACTCCCTCTGCGCAAGCAGGGACAGCTGCAGCAGGTTGTCCGGGTTCCACGGCCGCTCACATTTTCAGTATCTCCCAGGATGGAGCCTCTTCCACTCCTTGACCACACTCACACTGAGCAAGACTTGCTGCTTTTGCCCGTGGAATTCCATCCTTTCTCACTTGTGCCCAAGGCCTCTTGTCCTGCAAATGCGCGCTACTGAGGAGAGCCCGGCTCCCTTCACCTCATTCCCTGGCTTCAAGGATTTATAAACATTTAAGAATGAGTGTAAAGGGGAGGCAGTGGATGTACAGTTCTCGATTTTAGTAAGGTTTCCGATTCTGGCCCTCTCGGAATACGCCTACACAATTGTTCCAACTGTGATGTGAGAACGTACATGCAGCATTGGGTAAAGAACTGGCTGAACAGCAGCGCTCAAAGAGTTGTAGGGAATGGGGATACAGCTGACACCTTCTGGAGCAGGCAGGATAGATTAGAGCACTGGGCAATGATTAACGGCCAGAAATTGAAGAAGAAGAAATGGCAGATTGTGCACCTAGGAGGGAGCAATCTCTCTACGCATGTAACAGACTGGGAGAGGAGTGGCTGGAGAGCAGCCCTGCAGAAAGGGATCTGGGGGTGCTGGCTGACAGCAGGCTCCCGACGAGTCAGCAGCATAGCCTGGCAGCCAAGGGGGCAAACCGCATCCTGGGGTGCAGCCAACACAGTACAACCAGCCGGTCACAGGAGGGGATTAGCCCGCTGGATTCCCCGCTGCTGCAGCCTCACCTTGAGTATCGTGGGCAGAATTGGATCCCTCCAATTTAAAAAAGGATGTTAAAGTTCTTGAAAGCAGCCAGAGCAGGGCAAGGAAGCTGATGGATGACAGGGCTGGAAGGCAAGTCCTATAAGGAGCAGCAAAAAACTCTGTGTTCATCTAGCCTGGAGAAAAGGAGGCTGAGGGGCAGCCTCATTGCTCTCTGCTGCTTCCAGAGGACAGGACGTGGAGAGGGAGCTGCTGAGCTCTTCTCCATGAGATCCAGAGACAGGATTCATGGCAATGGGTCAAATGAACCTCCTCAATGGGAGGTTCAGACAGAAGGAATTATTTTGTTATAGAGCGTGTGGCGAAACACTGAAAGAGGATTCCTAGAGAGGAGGACGATGCCCCAAGTCTGACAGTGTTTAAGAGGCATCTGGACAAACAATGCCCTTAATTACATTCTCTTCTCTTCATCACCCCAGCAGCGAACAGGCAGTTGGACAAGATGATCACTGCACGTCCCTTCCAACTGGACTCTTCTAGTCCAGTCTTGTCTATTATGCTTCGCCAAGCCTTTGGCACGCAAACATCACCTCGAGGTTCTCAGGTGCACAGCCCCATGCAGCACGCACGCCTCCCCTTTCCCCTCCACTGGATCCAATCCCACTCTGGCCCCACAAACACTGCGCAGAGAAATGGCCTCACCCCTCGGCAATCACCCCAAAGTCAGACCCCAACTCACCAGCCTCCCCTGCCTGCCGTTCCCACTCCCCCTGGGCCTCTCCCCACACTCACCATCTCTCCCACAACTCACCAGCCTCAGCTCCACAGCCAGGCCCTGCCTCAGCACCCTCAGCAGCCAGCCAATCATGAGACACCTAACAGCCTGCCAATCAGGGGGCAGCTGACAGGCACCAGCTGCTGCAGAAGCCCCTGGAAGCTTCCAGAAGGTGCCTGTCAGGACTCCAAAACCGACATTTCTGGTACAATAAATGGATAATCTTCACCAGACAGCCCCCAGAACAACTGCTGGGAGGGGTGGCTGTGAATGAGGGAATGAATGGGTAGAAATGCTGGCGAAAACCAAAAGTAACACCTCACACGAGAGCAGTTAGGGGACTCAGAGGGGAAAGAGGGAGGGAAAATGCCCTGATTAAATAACATCCCCCCCAAAATCTGCCATCAATTAATACCTCAACAGAGCCTGCGCTTCTTCCTGCGCTGCAGGGTGCCAGACACACCCACACAGGGTCCCCTGTCATCGTCCCCCTTGTTGTGGTCCCCAGGCCAACTGCCTGGCAGTCCCCATGACACCATCTGCCCTCACAGACGGCTCCCAGGGCCACCCACACAGGATCCCATGGCCCCATCCCCCCTGGCTACCAGGACCCTGTGCAACCCATGCAGGGTGCCCAGGTCACCACCCGCCTTGCTCTGGGCTCCTCAGCTGAACCAAGCGTGGGTCCCTGTGGCACTGTCCACCTGGCTGCCTGGTCCCCCTGCCACCTATGTGGGAGTCCCCACACCACAGTCTCACCTTGCTTCGGGGTCCCCAACTGATCCCTTGCAGAGGATCCTCAGTCCACCATCTCCCCTTCATTGCAGGGTCCCACAGTGACCCATGCAGAGGGTCTCCGGACCATCATCCTCCCTACCTCAGCGTCCCTGGGCCACTTGCTCAGGGGACCCCAAGACACCATTCCTCCGCTCTGAGATCACACAGAAAGCCCCCTCTCTGAGTGCATCCACCCAATCTGGGGTAGGGTCCTCCATGTGCTGCAGGTGGATATTTACTGCACCACAGACCTGCACGCTCTGCAGGTGGACAGCCTGCCTCACCATGGCCTTCTCCACAGGCTGCAGGGGAATCTCGCCTCTGCTGCCTCGAGCAGATCCTACCCCTTTTTCTTTACTGACTTGACACTCTGCAAAGTTGTTTCCTCTCACACATTCTCCCTCCTATCTTCCTGCTGCTGTTGCGCAGTACTTCTTCCCCTGCTTAAATACATTAGCAAAGCGGCGCGACTACAACAGCTGATTGGCTCAGGTTTGGCATGGAATGTGCTGTCATGGAGCCGGCTGGCATTGGCTTTATTGGATGTGAGGGAAGCTTCTGGCATATTCTCACAGAAGACAACCCTGCAGATCTGTCGCTAACAAAACCTTGCGATATAAATCAATATACCCAGCGACAAACATACAGTCCTGATGGGCAATGAGAAATACAGAAAGCATACCCAAAGGAAAAGGCCACGTGTAAGGACAGGCTTAGTGAGCTGGCAGAAAGATGTGGAGGGATGGAACGCCAGGGCAGAACCAGCCCCTCACACCCACAACACGTCCAAAGCCCAGATCAGTCTGCCAAGGCTCTGAGGAGATGGGGCCCCCTCTTCACAACACACCCGCAAAACCACCTCACACGGGTGCCACGGGATGACCTCACTGATGACACCCCATTAGTCCTACACTTTCGCTGCGTCTGCTGAATGCCCTGACACGCACCTTCCATGTAAATGCTCCCAAATACCTACTCTCCTTTCAAAGCTTCTGACGGGGTCAGGTGGAAACGTCCGCAAGAGCAAGACATGAAATGGAGCACTGCGGGAAGGGAAACACACCCCACCTCATTATTGGCGAGGTCGTGGCACACAAGAGCCGCCTGCTGCAAAATGCCGTCACGCGCAAAGGCTGTCCCGCCCCTTGGGCACCCGCATAAAAGCCGGCCCAGCGCCTCTCTCCCTCACACCCTTCTCCTGACGCCTTCTCCTCCGCGCTCAACAAGGTGAGCCTCAACCCCCTTCCCCTCCTTCTCCTGGCCTGCCTGGCCCGGCTCTTCCAGCACGCTCTGCTGGCCCCAGCCTCAGCAGCCCTCACGCCTCCCCGCAGCCACGCTCCCCACAGCCCCACACCACGCCTCCCCACTCCCTCGCCCTCCTGCACCACCGCCCCTCCGCTTTCTCACCCCCCTCTCTTCCAGGGCCCCTCCACACCACAGCCATGGCCTGCTCCGACCTCTGCCGCCCCTGCGGACCCACCCCGCTGGCTAACAGCTGCAACGAGCCCTGTGTCAGGCAGTGCGAGGACTCCCGCGTCGTCATCCAGCCTTCCACCGTGGTGGTCACCCTGCCAGGACCCATCCTCAGCTCCTTCCCCCAGAGCACCGCCGTCGGATCCTCCTCATCGGCTGCCGTGGGCAACGTCCTCAGCTCCCAGGGAGTGCCCGTCTCCTCCGGAGGCTTCGGCTTCGGCTACGGCTACGGCTTGGGCGGCCTGGGCTGCTTCGGTGCCAGACGGGGCTGCTACCCCTGCTAAGGGCCCTCACCACCACCCCTGACACCAACCACCCACACCCTGCAAGCCACGGCATCGATTGAAGACGCAGCTCCGGGCTGTTGCCGGCACATGGGCTCGCCATCCATGGCTCCTCCTCTCAAGGCACCATGAAAAGAAACAGGGAAGGGGGAGCCCCGGCTGCCTGGAAACATGGCCCATGTACCTTCTCCTTTTCTCCAACTGTCTTCTTTGCATCGCCCCTTCTGCTATGTCTGCTGCTCTCCGCTGCAAACACCTTCTCACAAGCCAAAGCCCACTTGGAGCTCCAGTGAGCTACTCCTACTGCAGGGCAGGAAGACCTCACAGAT